ACCCCCCGTGGTCGTGCCACCTCGACCCGGGTATAGGCTAGTTTAACCGAAGAGTGAATTTGTCTCCACTCACCGTCCTCGGGATCGGGTCCTTTGTTCGAACTCCATTACGCCCATGGTTCTGGTGCGTAGATCCCGGAAAGCTCCGAGCCCGCAAGTGTTCGGGGACTCATTAAAATGCCCCTTCTAGACAAATTTGAACCAGATAACTCTCCTCAACTGCTTCATGACAATCCACGGCCTTGTCCTGAAACCTTTTGACGTAGTCAAGGATGTCTTCACTTTCTTGTTGCTTCTCTTTACACAATGTAAGTGTGGTCACCTTCTCCGCCACTTGAAAGAACTTAGAGTGAAATTTATTGACCATTTCCTCCCAACTTCGGACAGAGTTTGGGGCCAAATTAACATACCAACTATATGCTCGGTCGGTGAGGGACTTAGAGAATTCTCTCAGCCGGAGGACGTGGTTTGAACAATGAATACCCAGAGTCTCGATGAATCGCACAACATGTTCTCGAGCATTTCCTTGTTTGCCATTGAACTTGATGAATTTCGACACTGTATACCCCTCAGGGTATGGATAGCTCAGCATCTCAATGGGGTAAGACGGCTTGACATCCGGATCAGGCAAAGAGGGTAAGGTCCTCTTGCCCCGTTCGAGATCGAACATGGCCTGCACATCTGCGAGAGTGAGAAACTGTTGAGGGAGAGAGTTTGATGGTGGTATTCCCGGAACTTGGCTTATGGACCCGAAGACTGAGCTAGGGGCGACTTGGCCATTCTGGTGCTGCAAATTCATCATTGGTGAGGACATTTGACGATATTGGCCATCAGCACCTATAGACAAGCCAGTTGATGATGGGATATTGAATTGAGGCCCGTAGAGTCCACCGCACGGCGCCGCTATACCGGGTTGTACTTGCAAATTTGTTGTCGGCACCAAATGAGGCCCGCCTGGTGCTTGGGTAACATTTACTGGTGGCGTAACAAGATTAGGTACGGGCAGAGTTCCCTTTTGCGCCATCATGCTTCTCATGTTTTCCTGGATACCAACAGTCGCCGGAGCGCCATTCATTACACCAGAAACTCCTCTAGTCACCATTGGATCCTGGCTTGGCACGCCATGGAGCCCGGGCATGGGCAAACTGCTGCCGTCTACTGCAGTTTGAGCATGTGTTACTGTGGCCGTGTTGCCATGAGCCATAGGCTGATTGGGGCCTACTTCTCCTTGGATTTGATTTTGCGCTCCGGCGGGAATAACTCCACCAACAGTTTGATTTCCGTTTGGCGCCGGTGCAAAGTTGTAATGACCAACGCTTATGCTCCCACTCCTACAATAGCATCTTCTTCTTTTTTCAATTGAAGCAGGCCATGGTTGGGCAACAATGGCAGTACAGTGAGGAGAAATACGGGCAATTTTGTAAGACAAATGATGAGAATGTGTCAAATCTACACTTTGGTAATTTCGGTTTTAAAAAAAAAACAAAACAAAAATTTTAATCACAGATTTTCTGCTAATTTATGATTAAAAATAAATTCCTTAAGGGCTGAGTTTTTCTAGTCTCATGGTGTAGGAGAGGGTTTAAGAAAGGAGTTGGAAAATTCGAAGATCTTCGAAGATTCTTGAAGAACAATTTCGAATTCTCTAGAATATGATGAGAGGCTTAGATTCTTCAATAATCTCAACTTAGGAACACGACAACAAAGGAGATGATGGAGATAAGAGATTGGGTGAAGAAGAAGGCAAAATGGCTAGAGAATAGAATAATGGCAAGGCTCTCCCATTGATCTCCCACTTTCACTTTCAAGGTTGATAATGGAGAAGGGAAATTAGTTCTTTCCCAAGAGTTAAAAATCTCCAAAATCCATCCCTTGTAAAGCTATGGGTGGGTGCTATTTATAGGCACCTCATGATGTAGGATGGAGCCCATGTGCAAGGCACATGGGGGATATTTTCTCTAACCACCTTGTCCGAGGGGGTGACCTCTCCGAGGAGGTGACTTCTCTGAGGATGAGAAAACCCCGAAGAAGAGATCAGTCCCTCGGCGAACCCTTCTTCTTAGCCACACCTAACCAATGATCCCCAATCATCCCAAAGGGTCAGGGGTAGTCCCAGAGGACGTCCTGCCGCAACATATTGCCGAGTCTCATGGACCCCCCGGGGTCGTGCCACCTCGACCCGGGTATAGGCTTGTTTAACCGAAGAGTGAATTTGTCTCCACTCACCGTCCTCGGGATCGGGTCCTTTGTTCGAACTCCATTACGCCCATGGTTCTGGTGCGTAGATCCCGGAAAGCTCCGAGCCCGCAAGTATTCTGGGACTCATTAACGGAGCGACTTCTAGATTGCGTCTGAATCCGTTCGAAGCCAAATGTTTCGGACCTCTAGGTTCGTGGATCCGAATCCTTTCGAGTCCGAGTGCCTCGGATCTCTAGGCTTGCTTAATACCCTTTCGAGTCCGGGCCCGAGTAAGTCTCTAGGTTCGTGGATCCGAATCCTTTCGAAGCTTAGAGCCATTCAGCCCGTTTGATGGCGATAAATCTGGGCCCGCCAGTCTTGGACTTGCGATAAATTTGGGCCCATCAACCTTGAATTATTGGGCCTAATTAATTTAATGGGCTTAAACTTAACTCCTCTTACAATTTCTAAAATTGTTTCCCGGAGTTCTACTTTTACCTTATGCTTTTGTATATGTTCTTAACTACAGATGATCGTGTACCTACTGAGCTGAAGAAAAATATTTTGCAAGCTCGAATGGACAAGAAACGTACTCAAGCTCAACTTGCTCAAGTAACACTCTCTCTCTCTCTCTCTCTCTCTCTCTATATATATATATATATATATCTCTGTGGTTGGACTCGCATGATAATGTAAATTTTGTGTAGATTATCAATGAGAAGCCTCAAATAATCCAAGTGTACGAATCTGGGAAAGCAATTCCAAATCAGCAGATAATTACCGAGCTGGGGAGGGCTCTTGGAGCGAAACTGCCGTGAAAGAAATGAAGTGAATGAACGTAAAGAGAGTAAGAAAATTCTATTATATGCCAATGGTGGATGTATAGAAATCTCAAGTTTCTGGATGGTGCTCGTGTTAAAGAATATGTACGTGTTTGTAACAAAACCCTTTTGTTTTGACAGTTGTTTGGTGAGTTGCCTTAACCTTTTTTTTTTTTTTTTTTTTTTTTTTTCCCGAATAAAATTGATGACCCTTCTTGTGATGTTTTTCATTGCCTGGTTTGGAATAGTTATGTCATTTAAATGAGCACTTTATTTTAAAATAACAAGTCCTAATCTAATCATATTTTTTATATACAAGTTTAAATATTTTTTTTATTTGTATATTACTACTGGATCGATATTGGATGGTGGCCATTGATATGTCTTAGGGTAAAGATGCTTTTGAGTAGAATTTTATCAGTTTCCCCTCTTTGGTAAAACATTCTTGGTGGCGGTGGCCTTAGTGGTGTGTTGATGGTGGCAATGGCGGTGGTTAATAAAAGTGAGGCCAACATTATTATGATAGATTTTTAGATACTAACAAAACATATAAAACACTAACAATAAATAAAACACAAATAAACTCGGGTTATTTTACAAAATAAATGCAGTCTTAGGCCTCATTTCACAAGTAGCTATTTTAGTCAAAAAATTAAAAAGTCATTAAAAAAATTAAAAAGTCAATAATTCATACTAAAAAATCAAAGATTCATTTCCCTCTATTTTTTGCGCATCCTTTCGTAAAAAGTCAAAAAAGTCATCTCAACCATACTATTTTTTTTTTACATCACATTTTAGCCAAAAAAACTAAAAAATTATTAAAAAAACTTATTCCCAAACGAGGTCTTAGTGCGTGGCAAACGCTAATAGGATACCATTTTCTTGTGTTAGATATGCCAACCGCATGTTATGGACCACACATGTTATAATTTTCTTTTGTTAGTGATACTATAAAGAGTGTGGTCTGAAGTGTTAAGGCGATTCTATTTTTTTTTTACTTTTTACACATTTTTTTATAAAAAATTAAAAATTCATTCTAAATATACTAATTTTTTTTATATCATATTTTAATTAAAAAATTAAAAAATTATTAAAAAAATATATTTCCGAACTAGGCGTAATTATAGAGAAAAACCTGACATTCGGACCCATGCTTGATTGAACGTTGATGTGTTTTTCACCACAATAAAAGAGAGAATATGTTACATGAGGGCATCACCAATGTTAATTGAATTCAATCGACTGGGCTAGCTCAGTTGGTTCATGTACAATTTTTTATGTACACTTTTATATGGAAAGTTAGGAGATCAATCATTGCTAAATACAAAAATTCATACTTTCTCCTCTATTAGGGAGTTTGTTGTGTTTTTTTTATAAATAGTACTTGAATTACGAGTAATAAAGTATATGAAAAATTTGTTCAAGTGACAAGTAATTTAAAAATATCTTTACATATAATTTTGCACAAATTTTCTACTCAACTATTTAGTATGATTATAATTTTCTATTTACTTGACTATTAAAATTTTAGGAAGTCTCATAATGATGATATAGAGAGAACCAAAAAAAAAAATTGAGGTGTGATTTTCAATTTTATTTTAATTTTAAAAAAATGAATTTTCTCAAAGAAATGAAACGATATGAAACTGGCTCTAATATTTTTGGCTAGAGGTAGTGCATTATATATTTTGAACCAAATGCATTTCTGATTTAAAAGCATATAAGCAAGCAAAGTACCCTTTATTGAAAAACTTAAAATTAAAACTAAAATTCACTTTTTAAAATATCTTTAACGTTGGACTGTGATATGAGTCTTTTTTTATTTAAAAAAAAAAAACAGTGTTTAGTTTTAATTTTCTGAAAATTGAGTTTTTTATTTTTCGTATTTTTTTGTTTTTAGTAAATATTTGTAAAATTTTAAACAATTTTTATACCTTTTTAGATTTGCATTACTTAGATGTATTTAAAAAGTAAAATATTTGTAAAAAAAATATTTTAAAAAATTAATAAATACACAAGAATATGAAAAATGTACTGAATTCTCGTAAAAAAAAATTTTTTTGTATATTTAGTATTTAGGCCTCGTTTGGCAAGTAGCTTTTTTAGCCAAAAAGTCAAAAAAAAAATCAAAAAGCTAGCAACTCATATCAAAAAGTCAAATATTCTCTTTTCTCTCTACTTTTTGCACATCTTTTCGTAATTAGTCAAAAAGTCATCCCAAACATACTAGTTTTTTTAGTTCATATTTTGGCCAAATAGCCAAAAAGTTACTAAATTAACCTATTCCCAAACGAGACCTAGTGAATTTTCTAAAGATTTTTTCACAAATATTATACTTTTTAAGTGTATTTATGTTAGTTGTATTTAAAAAATTTTAAAATTACTTAGAATATTAAAAAAAATCAGTGAAAATAAAAAAAATATATGAAAGATAAAAAAAAATTAATTTTCTGAAAAATAAAGCATGAAAATAGGAATCAAATGGGATTTGTAAATCTACTGCCCCTTTTTCTTGGATACACTCCATCTCACATGTAATATAAATGACTGTTTGATTACTTTTAAGAGTGGTATATCCATAATTTATCTATTTATATTAATTTTTTGTTTCCACTCATTTTTCTTGTCATTATATATGCATTATTACTACCAATTAAGGGTTGTGAATAAGGGTTGTGAATAAAATAAATAGGATTATATATAAATAACTTTTGGGGCAAATACTATCAATGGTCTTTGTAATTTGTCATTTTTGTCGATTTGATTCATGTAATTTTCAATTGTATCAGTTTTATTTTTTAATTTTTGACATTATGTTAATTTAATCCAATTGATAACATTTATTAAGAAATTAGATACAAATCAAAACAAAATAGTTCATTAAAAAAAATCATTTCAAATTAAATATCAATCCTTCAATCACTTTGAAGAAAATGAATGGACTATTATATATTCATTGATTTTAGTTTAATTTTTAAAGAGGTATGATCAATTGACTTAATTGACAGAATCTAAAAAATTTAAAGATTAAATTGACATAATTAAAATTATAAAAATTAAATTGACACAGGAAAAACAAATTACAGGACAGGACTGTAAATGTAAATGTAATTTCCCCACAACTTTTTAGAAAATAGGTTATTGCTTTCTTTTTAGATTGGGTGTGCAGTTATTCAAGCTGGAGCTCTGGAGTGGTTGTCCATCAGTTCTTAAACCTACTACAGAGGGCCAACAAGTTGACTTCAAAAAATAATAAATAAATCAAAAGGGTAAATTATGCATTTCATATTTTTATAATTTGATCTAAATTTCATTTAGATTCTTTTATCATTTTATTTTGAGTAATTTGATTCCTACACTTTAAGTTCAGTTTCAATTTGATTCTTTTGTCCAAATGTAGTCAATTTTTGTATGTGACAAAATCGTTAAGGTTAATGTTTAATTTAAATGAAATGACCTAATTAAAATTGGACTAAAATTGTATGGACTAAATTATTGAAATTGAAAAAATATAATAATCAAAATAAAATTTGAGTTAAACTATAGGATTAAAAGTGTAATTTATTTTTTAAAAATTTGATGTTTCTTAATAGTTAATTTTGCTTGAAGTCATGATGATTTATAATGCTTAATTTAGACTAAAATCTAATTAGAAGAAAGCAAGGTCAATTATGTACTAATCTTCCTTGGGGAGATCAAGATAGAATTATTTTATAAGAAGTTTCAGAGTAAAAGTTGCTAAGTTTTGCAGTACTTGAATTGAAGGTTATGGTATATCACCAAGGATCCTCTAAAGTGAAATTTTCCTAAAGTTTCTTAGAGTGCTATATTATATGGTTTAGATTTATTGGCAAGTCACATCAGAAAAATTGATGTGACTTGTCAGTAAATTTCAACCACACAATGTAACACTCTAGAAAACTTTAAAAAAAAATCACTCTAGAGGATCCTTGCTCATGGTATATCTTGTGTGGGCAAGTCAACTAATTGAACTCCTACACTGTAGAGGTGCAACTGTATAATTATAATAATAATTTAATTTAATTTAATATGGTATCTGGTCTACATTTGTGTGCCTCTCAATTAGGTTTCTAGTTTTTAATGTCGTCGACTCTGTCCACATAAAATGAGAAAATAAGGTTGTAGATTATTGATTGTCAGTCAACCATGTGCTATTTGTGTATACCAATGGTGACTACAAATCTGATTTATATGTAAATAAATATGGTTGAGAAATAAAGGAAGACGAATAATTAAAATTTTAAAGATTTAAACAAGTGATAGTTTTTAAATTATTATGGGTATTTTTAAAATAGAAAAAATATAATATTTACTAATATAGTATAAATATATAAGGTATAATTATAATATAATAAATAACTTTTAGTTTAGATAAGTTATTGGACTCACATAATTGTTCAATAAACATTGAAGTAATCCCATTTGTGTGCCACTAACCCTTTTTAAATTTTATTGAAATTTTCTTATATCTTTTATATCGCTCATCTCCCTTGGGTTAACAAGTTAAATCCTACTAATAAATAGCACGTGACCAAAAAAACTGAAGAAAAACCATTTTAAGATCATGTTTAGGCCCTGTTTGTGAAGTTGTGTTGGAAAGCTTTTTCTTATATATATTCAAATAGTCAATAAAGATAAAATATATTAAAATAATTAATAAGATAAAATGTTACATTTAAATTATAATTATTTTAAATTTTCTCTCATAATCATCAAATCAATTATAAAAATTAAAAAAAAAACAATTATCATTGCAAACAAAACTTTTTTAGTCAGACTAAAATATCTAAAAACAACTAAAATAATCAAGTTTCTAAACGAGTTCTAAATGATGATAAGGTTCAACAGTGAAAAATAATTATTTCTTTATCTCGTTGTGACAAAACAAAAGAAAATAAATAATCCTAAACCCTAATTCTCTTACTATGAAAAATAAATAATTATGAATTTTTCTTAATTTGAAATAAAAATAAATTTACGTAACTACGGTAACATGATACAATAGAAATTATTCATTACAACCCTATAATAAAAATGATTTGAATCCGTATAATTTATCCCCCCAAATCTTATCCATAATACCATTCATATTCCAATCACATCAAAAATAAAATAAAATAATCCAACAATGAAAGGTGCAGTAAGTGTATTACTCTCTTT